AATACTTCTCCCCCATCCACGGTTGACCCACCAGTCGGTGTCACAACTAGATTCCCAGCCTTGCCAACTCGGCAGCCCTACTAATTTCCCGCAGCGCCTCTTCGACGGCGGCATGGTCACTCAGATTCTTCTCCCTCAGGTATTTCAACCTCGCCAGCGAGCGCTCGATAAAGTTCGGGGCCGTACGCTCAATCAGCTTGCAGTAGTCCCGGCATCTTCACCCTTTCGATGGCGTCCGCCCGGCGACGGAGTTCCTCTCCCAATATTACCTCGTCGACTCCCAAGAAATCCTTCCATATCTCGTTGTTTTCAAGAACGCAGCCCTTTGTTCTTCGATGTAATCCCTTTCTTTGGCGCCCGAAATCCATCCGCCGCATCTTCCCAATCCTTTCGCTTGACATCGTGTCGAGCTGCGCAAGCTCTTCATCCCATGTCGATTGCAGTGCAATCGGGGGCTCAAGCATGAGCAGCTCGCGCGTCAGCGCTGGATCAAATTTCTCAGCGAGGTCCAGCCGTCGCTCAGTCGCCGACTGTATCAGTTTTTGTATGTTCTCTTACCGCCGCACCTCCTCATTAACCATCTTGCGGTACTCTGAGGCTAACTGCACCCTTCGATTCCATAATCTCTCTCATTCTGGGCCAAGTCCCTTTTTCTCTGGTGCGTTTGGCTATCTTGTTCATCCTGATGACTATCGCCTTTTGGTCGTCGTCCTGTTTCCGGGAGAGATTATTTTCGTGGAGATACTTTGTTACTGTAGCCCTCAGGACACGTGCGTCATGAATTGCTAAAGAGCGACCAATCGCCTCTTGGTATGTACAGGCATCGCGAGAATCAGAGCACCTGGGTGTCCGGCTTCCTCGACGACGCGCGACCACGCGACATCCACGTCCTCTTTTTTTTTTTCCGCGAGCTTTATGGCGCCCTCCTCTTGGTTCGAAACCACATCCAACCGTCGTCGTGGTTCTTCAAGGCTTTCTCGTCGATCACGCTACTCAGAGCACCCGCCTTGCTCAGGGCCTTCGTAAATAGCTCCATCGTCCATAGGATGGGCGCGGCGAGCTCAGGGCCAGGCGGCTCGCTCTCCCGATGGGATCTTGTCCTCCGCGGTTAGGGAAAATGCCCGCAATTTCTCTCGGTGGGCTTTCAATGTCACCTCGGTTGGCGTAAGTGGTTGTCCCGTAGTCCTTCCGCGATGGGGTTGCATACAGGCGTCCCCTTGTCTCTTGGATGCGGGAGTCCCCCTGGGTTCGTGAGTTTAGGAAATTTTTTCCC